GGTACGTTCCTCTATGGCTTCCTACCAATATGACCATTTTGCGAAAACAAGGTCAAACAACTTATAGAAATATGACCTATTATAAAGATCTGGCTGCTACAAGTCAGAAGTAGTCGAACACATGGCAGAAACTAGACATGAAATAGAATGGTCTCAACTAGGTTTGCTGATGATGGTGCGTCTGCGGTTAAAAGAAAGATAAGAGGCTATTTAAATGAATAGATTAGGAAATAAGTTGAATGTGATAAATGATGGTAGAAAGTTGAGTAGGAACTATTTATGCTTGATTGATAGATGAAAGGAGAGAGAGGGTGTTGAGCCGCCATCTGCTCAGTAATGGTTTTAACATCCCTCACATTTGTCCAACATGTTAGAATAAGCTCAGGAATGAGACCCAGCTCTGATGATGTCCATCAGATGGACGAAAGCTCAGCCTATTTTCACCCGAAACAAGGGAGGAGGTCTCGTAGACCGCGTTAACCTGCATATAAAAGCCAAACGGCTGCAGTACAATCGAATTTATCCGTCCTCTTCAGGTAAGATCAACCTACGAATCTCTTCTTCATGCACCTTCATACAAAATTAAAGTCTTCCAAAAAATATGTAATTCAAGTTATGAAACCGCTTGTCCTAGCCTCTCAGTCTAGGGTGATTAAGGTTTAATCACCCAAGGAAAGACATGACTGGGGCTGCGTAGTCTCGTACGCCTCGTTTGGTTAAGGAGCTTAATCTAACAGTCAGAAATATCACTAAGCAGACAAGTTGAATCGTCTTCTTTTTGAATGGCGACTCAACACCCTGAATAGAAGGAATGAGTATGGGAAGTTAGGCGGAAACTACGTGTGACTATTGGATAGGTTTAGAGAGAGAAGTATCACCAAGCAAGAGGAGGTTTGAATAGGCTGGAATCTGGTTTTGACTTTCACATAACACTCATTCCAAGAGCAATGCACTCACACAAGACGAGTGCAATGGGACGCAATCAGATGCGGTAACATTGCAGGATCAAAGGCACAAGTGCTTCAATTGAACCCATTTCACGCTTCATCTTTAGCCATCCTCCGCAGCCACTTAACTTAACTTATGAGCAAATATAGAAGTAAAGCATAGGACATCCAACCAAAACTTAAGATGCATAAGTGGACCAAATTGGAATATAAGAAGGAAGTAGGTTTGAAGCCGGCCACCTTTCTTGCCTTCGTGTTTTGGGTGAATTATCGCTAAGCATAGCGTCGTGCTCTAACGATGTCCGTCACATGATGGACGAAAGCTCAGTAAAGGATAATATTTAAATAACAGTTGATTTATAAGTTAATGATTGCAGTTTATGCTTGTATCAAATTCTCAACCTACCTATGCATTAAAACCTCTGGTTTCTTGATCCCGTAAATAAGGCGAAACGAGTCTTCGAATACGCCTTCGCGAGTGACCCGGATCTCAAATTTGGCTTGTGAGTCACGTGGAGCACGCAAACGTGAACGAAAGTATTCATACTTTTGTTTGTAGTTTCGTGAGTATGGTACAGCAGGACCGCCAAGAAGTTCAAGCCGAGGATCCTCCCATTGGGTGGTCCTTGCGTCTGAAGGTAAGTTAGAAAATTTAGGGATGGAGGGAGAAAGATGGCGAAGAAATGGTTGGGATTCATAAAAATAAAAATAGTTATTGTAAAGTTTTAAAGAAAATGACATATTTAGGGGTTAAATTGAATGTTTATATGGGATAAAATAGAAACATGTCAAAGATATGATCGAAAAAAAGTGAAGTGAACTAGATTAAGAGATAAATCTATTAACAGTACTTTAACTAATTTAAAAAAAACAGACAGAGTGGATTAAATATAGTAAAAACTCATTAGACGTTGAACCAAGGACTTGTAAACTAGAAGATAGACAAGTCCTAAGCCCCATCGCACACCCTTATGGCTAGTGAATTACTGTGCCGGCATAAAATTCAAGGCAATACAGGCCTTTCTTAATCCATAGATATCATATTTAATTAGGTAAAATTATGGTCGCATAATGATGAGTGAGGATCCTCATTTTAGATGTGTATATAACAGCAAGCATACGTCCACCTTCCCGATATTTGTTGAGAGAATTTCTCATTTCGACCATTATTACTGCCCTATAACTATCTTACCCTAAAGTACCTCGTCTTGGGCCCAGATCCAGATGAGATAGGAACTCTAGTCACAGAGGTTTATGAGAATTTGATGCAAGTGAGAAAACCATTAGTTAAACAAGATTGATAGAGTGTGACTAAAAAGCTGTTATAACCTTCACACAGAGTTAAATCAGATAAGTTGATAGGTATGCGTTTAAAAATCGTGGTAACTTCGACCAACTAATTTAATTTAATCTCAAACAAGTGGGTTTAATAGTGTACTTGAGTGAGGTATAAATATAGAATTATGGAGCCTTTTGAATCGGTATTCAAACAATTGTGTTTGGAATAATCCCCTAACGAATCCATAATTTCATATCCAAAAATTTCATGAGGATTTAAAAGTAGGGACAATTTTAAAATATCATTCACCCCCCCTTCCAAACGAAATGGAAGATATTCCAATGAATATGAAGGTTTGCAATATATCTCGATGATTTTCAGATAATGGCTGGCGCGCAAGGAGAGAAATAAGTTCGGTGATAGGAAAAGCGTTCACAAAAGAACGAAGTTAAACGAGGGTGTATAAGGGAATAGAGTCTTTGAATACATCTGAATCTCAATGGAACTGATGCGTTCACCGGCATCTACAATCTCAGCTAGATTGGCAAAATTCACAACCCTAAATTAGAGAGCTTTTATTAATGTTCTTATTAAAATGGATTGAACAAATATATACATATTAAAAATTGAGATGACTACAATCACGCATGACAAGATAGGGACATGAGAAAGGGTCTCAGCTTGCCTATCTCTGACCAAATAGTCCAATAAACTTGCCGCAATGCCTTCTTTATAAGAAGATAGATGAACTAGTGACGAAGTGGTGGATAAAAATAGGTGTCAGAGGAACTCTGACACTTTCTTCGGTTGCGCCTTCTTTTAGAAAGAAGTATGACGCATTATCAAGATCCGGCAGTTACAAGATTGTATGTAACTGTGGTCAACCTCATGTTAATGAGACCTGTCAGCCTATCTACCAGAGATTAGCGGAGCACAATAATGCGTGTAAAGGCATCTAAGCCGAACACAGGGCGGAGACTGGAGAATGCTTTAAAATCAGCCGTTTGCTGATTATGGTATGTTTGTTAAGAAACGCAAGATAAGAGAGGCTATCGCATGAATATATTAGGGAATACGTTGAATGTGAGGAATAGTGATAGAAAGTTGGGTAAAAATTACCTATGCTTGGGTGAAAATTGATTGCATTGACTGGGAGAGGGTGCTGAGCCATTGTCCAAAAGAAGACGGCTTAACTTGCCAGCTGAGTGATGATTTTAACTAAATTCGCACTCGTTCAACAGGGATACAAAGCTCATCAACGAAAACCAATGTACAAGATTACAAAATCCCAGCCATGTAAATGCTTGGGTCATTATAACTTAATGAATCCAGACTAGCGAGTTATGACTAGTGGTTCCGTAAGCCAAA